CCTTTCTAGATGCTACTTTGTCAAAGCAAGAAGTCTGTGGCTTCATGCTCAGCAGTTCTCTAGTGAATGACTCCCTTCTTTTCCTGAAGTTACTAGGGAGAACTTAATGATTTCATGCAGTTCATGGCTTCATTGGGAGTTTTTACCTTAGCTGTAGTTAACATTAGAGCTTTGGCAGGATGGGAGTTGCTACACAGGTTTGTGTCAGGTTCCACTTAATTTGAAAGTTTCTTGACTGATTGCACCACTGAGTTCTTAAAATTAAAGAGTGAGAATGTAAGAAAGTTATAGACAGCCTTATAGGTAAAGCATATTTTAAAATTTAAGAACTATTTTTGTCCAATTTGTGGGTTCAATCTAATGTATTTTTAGCAATACAACAAACTATAACACTTGAAGTTCCTCCCTATTGATTATTATTCATCGAAGCCTTGCAGTTCCAAAGATACAAAATGCGTATCCCCTATAGGATTTATAGCTCCCCTCCAAATTTCTTTTGAATTGTAATTTCAGTTGAGTAACATTAGTGCATCTTCTAATTCAAAAGTTGTAAATTTACCTTCTGGTTCTTTGCATTAAACTGAATTAACCATTGTAAAGGACTGATTTTTTTTTTCATTATACTTTAAAATGATGAATTATGTATGTTGTCTTGCCTGCTAAACTAGATTATGACAATTTGAGTGTAGCACTCTTCATTTAAAACATTTGTGGTTTGAGATTATAAGCATATTAGCAGAATAAGATCATCTCATTTGGAGAAAAGCAGAGCTTCTATTTACTAGCGTTGTGGCAGCGGATAAAATTACCTACTACCAGGGACCTGTGGAGTTGAATTTAACGATTAATTTCTTAAGACCTGCTCCTGTATTTTATCTGGCCCTGCCTGCTGAGAACTTTCAGTACAAATATGAGGGAGAGGGGTATGATTACTATAAGCCAGGCTTAAGTTAATCTTTAATCATTTAAAAACTTTGCTTGAGAATTTAATGCATTATCTGTCTCTTGAGTGCCTAGTTTCTATATTAGAGTAAAACAAACAATTCTGAGAATATTTATGTGTATGTGTGTATCCAGATTTGTCAATTATTGTATATGGGAAACTGGGCCCAGGATGCAAGGAAAAAGAGCCATATATGAGACAGACAAGTTTTCATTTTAGTCCTGGATCAGGGCAATAAATTGTCTATTTTGTTGTTTCTGACTCCTTCAGAACTTGGAAAGTGGATCCTTGATAGAACTCCTGTTAGGTTTGGTGAGGATGCATTTCTCTCCTTTAAGTTCTAGAAATGATGAAGGGTCTGTTCTTACTTTTGGATAAAGAATATTGCAGGCTGGCTCTAGCAAGACAAATGAGAAACACAGCAATATCTTCACTTTGCTGGTAGGAATTTGTGAGCACAGATGATTAGCGCCTCTGTCAGAAGAGATACGAGGCACTGTCCTTTTACCATATTTGTAGATGACCTTTGGAGTACTGGGAGAGCTGTCAGGAATTGCCTTGTTACAGTGACCTCTCCATGGTAACAGCCTTGGATGTTGGGAAATAGAATGGGGAATCTGATTCTTGCGCTGCCATCTTTCTTTCTCCTACACACCACCATCTTTATTTCTCCCCAGCTTAATAATCATATTTTAATCTCCTTAGTGCAAAGTGTTAGGCTCTCAGCAGATTGTAGAAATTATGTTTCTTATGCCGGGTGATTGAGTAAATAGCAATACTACTATCTTAATGTCAATTTGAATTTGTCTCATCTTGTCTGAAACATTAATTGAACAAGTTCAGAATCAGGACTTAGAATCTACTATTCATTTCTCAAGAGCAGGTTCTTATTCATGCACACATGCTTTTTTTTTTTTTGGTCCTTTTCATCTAAGCTTGTTTTCTAATGTTCTTTAACTTTTATTTTTTATTAGTTTGTATCTGGTATAAAGAGAAAATGTAGATTGTTTCTTAGAAATATCATCTAAAAGTTTTCTAGCATAGGATAAACTGACTATTTTGTCATACATGTATGGGATGTGGGGTTGCTGTTTAGTTCTTATAAGGCCTCACCCAGTAATTGGACCATACTATGTGTCTATGCATGTTCTCTATCACTGTTTTCAGGTAGAATTGGAGTTAACAGAAGCACTTCTTTTTGTAGGAAAAGATTTTCAAAGCTAACTAGGTATTTCTCCTTTTAAACTTTCTCCTTATAATCCTTACTTGCTCATTTTGACCCTGACCTTAGAATTATCTTAATTTTTTAAAAGTTTTAATAAATTTTGTCAACAAATGCAAATCTGTCTCTTAAAATAAAGTGTTCATAATATATCTGATCTTAGCTAAGAGTCATTAAAAAATGTAAGTTTTTAAAGAAATTTTAAATACAGCAGTGTCATTTGGTTTTTAAAATGGAACTTGAGTCCCTCTAGTGGGTAGAATATAATTCACTTTCTAAGCTTGAAATAAAAAGAAAGATGATAGTCTTGAATTATATGGAACCAGCTTTCAGATACAGTGTTCTCATTGATACTGGTGTCCCCTCTCCCCAGCTGAGAGGCAGTGCTTAAGCAGGCACTAGCTTGGCTCTCACAAGCAAGATTCAGCAGCCCTTCTCTTCTGCCCATGTTATCCTAGTGCCTGGTCATTCCTAGCATGTGATCTCACAAGCTGTGGCTCACCAGCTGCTTTCTTTCAAGCCTTAGCAAGTATAAACTCAGATTGCAAGTTGATGATTTTAAGCTATGCAGTTCTTTATAGAAAAGAACATATTGTCCCTAGAGTCTTTGAGATGCTGTGAAGGAAATAATTAAACAAGCCTGTCTGGCGCACAACAGGTTAATTAAGGAGGAGTTGCATACTATAGCCAGAACATCGGAAGCATGGTATGGCAGAAAGAACCTAGGTTTTGTGTTCAAGTCCTAACTTTGTAGTTACTAGCTGTGTGACCTTGAGCTGGTTATATAGCCTCACTGTATCTTATTTTTTCCTTCTGTATAGTGGGAAGATGACAAACCTATTTTCCAGGGTTGTTTTAATAAAAATAAACATGCAAAGAAAGGTCTTTGTGTTTTTGTGCAATTAATTGGTAGCATGGAAATTTCCCTAGCTGAGTTCATTATAATGCATGCCGTTTAATTATTTGAATAACTTTCCCCTCTTCCATGCTTTATTTTTCTTTCAGTCACCACCAAGTAAGCGAAGAAAATTAGAGAAGCCAAGGAAACCCATTACATTTGTAGTGTTGGAGTCTGTGATGAAAGAATTAACCCTTAAAGCATTGCCTTTGGGCTCTGAGGCAGTGGAAGGCATAGTAGTTGTGACGACATGGATTGAAAAAATTCTCACTGATCTGAAGGTACCTGGTTAAGCACATTGAAGAAGTACTTAAAATAATCTTTTTTTCTTTTCTTGTCCTTTTTCAAAGGAGTTTTGAAAGTGAAAGAGTGATTTCCTATAAAATTCTGATTTTTCTTCAAATAGGTCCAGCATAAACGAGTTCCCTGCGGAAAGGAAGAAGTTAGCCTTTTTCTAACAGCCATAGAAAACTCCTGGATTCACTTAAGAAGAAAGAAAAGAGAACGAGTGAGACAGTTGAGAGAAGTTCCCCGAGCCCCTGAGGATGTCATCCAAGCCTTGGAAGACAAAAAGTTCACTCCCAAAGAGTGTGGCAGTAGCCCAGATTTGGCCCAGGGCCCCCAGGAGAGTGCCCTGTGTGGGCCTGCTCTACAGGAAGGCGAGTCTGCCACTGTGGAGGGCCATGGCCCAAACCAGGATTTTCTTTCCCAGGAAGAAAACCCAGAAGCCATGGAGGATGAAAGGAGTGAGGAAAAGGGAGAGATGGAGGTTTTGGAAAGTTGCAAAAGTTCTAGCAATGGAGCCCAGGACCAAGAGGCTTCTGAGCAGTTCAGCAATCCAGTGTCTGAAAAAGGGGACCATCTCCGAGGAGTGGCTGGACATTACCTGTTCAAGTGTTTGATAAACGTTAAGAAGGAGGTAGATGATGCCTTAGTTGAAATGCACTGGGTTGAGGGCCAGAACAGGGATTTGATGAACCAGCTTTGTACTTATATACGGAACCAAATTTTCAGGCTCGTTGCTAGTTAACTCCAAACTTCTTGCACAGTTGGGAAAGTTCTATAAACTTGCTGTGGAGTGGCAAGAGAAATTTCACCATGGGCTTATTGGTAGCGTTATTAAGAATTACCTTAAAAACAGAAACAATCCACTTTTAAACACCTCCCCCCTATTAAGTTACAGGGCATTGTAGTATGGTAGTTCAGGAGGAAGAATTGTTATCATCATCAACAAAAAGCCATCAGAAAAGTCAAAGGTTTTAAACTTGACTTATAAAGTGATCACCTTAGCTTTAGACTGCTTCTCTGAGGCCAAAAGGATTATTTTTGGAATCTGGTTTGAGTCAGAACTATACACAGCATCATGCTTTTTGTCATTCACAGTTGCTTTTTGAGGAAAGGTGACTTTCTCAGCCCCCAAATGGAGACAGTACACCAGGGCACATAGACCGTGTACCCTCGTCTAGAGTCACCTCGAAGACAAAGACTTTCTCTGGGTTCATATGACTGATTACCCCTTTGTCAGTCTTGAGAAAAGATTTGGCCTGATGATAGGTGGTGGGAGAGTCAAAGAGAGAAAGTTTAGTGATGCCAGAAGGGCTGATGTGGGGAGCTCCTGGAAACATCACATTCCTGACTCAGGTCTGTTTTGATGTTGCTTATTTCAGAAACAATTAGGTAAGTAAAACTCCCAGATATGACTGAGACACAACAGAATGAAGCCATACCCCTATCTCCAACCTGTTGAAAGTAGTGTAGCAGTTTTACTAGTGTACGACATTTGAAGTGGAGCTTTGTTTTGTTTTTAATATAAGGGTGGTCAAAATTGAAAACTGTAAATCCTGTTTAAATCCTGGGATTGGGGAAAATATTTTCTTGGCTTTCAATGAGTAAATGATGATAGAAATAAGAAATAGAGCAAGATTGCATTTTTGGGTTTCTTTTGTAATCTTCTCTGTACTTACTTACCTGTTAGCTTAGGAGAATTCTCAAGGCCAGGATAATCATGTTTTTAAAACATGTTTCTAATTGGAGTCGGGCTTC